ATGTTTAGGACTCTTTCTTCTATGGTGGTCGGTCTATTGTTGGCGCTTTGGTGAGACATTGTGGAGTTCCTCGAAAGACAAAGGTTAGTGAAACAATAACTCTCCCTCACTTTCGCTTGTGTTTACCTCACAATCTCTCAATTGACATCTTTTTTCTACAGAATTGAGCATTTAGAATCGAAATCACTTGGTTGAGTTTACATGTTAGTCCATATGACACAACCAAGAACCCTAAAAGGATCTAATTTCTATAAAAGCTCATAAACAAGCACATACGAAAAGGTATATCTATTTATACTAACCCCAATTTGTCAGTTACACTCTATGACTGATCGAGTTTTTTTGTGCAACATTAATGCAAGATTATAGAAATACAATTCGAAAATTAAACGTGAATAACGTGCATGATGAAAATAAAAGTTTTCACTCGCACTCGTTAGGTGAGGGACTCTGCCTTTGATTTCTCAAAGGTTTTCCAGTCACCAATCAGACGGCTATTCTAATTTTATTATACAAAATGCAAACAACGTGTCAATTACCTTATGGGGTGAATTAGTATATTTTTTTTATTTTTTTTTATATATTAGAATAAATAAAGAATTACTTGAAACGTATTGATAAAATGGATTCAAGTAATATGCAAGGGAATTAAGAATCAAAATAAATTTGAATGTTAATTTAATAACAAGAATGTTGAAGAACAACATAGATAGTTTAGGTTTTAGGAACCTAAGCTCTGATACCAGATGATGCAGGAGGGTATGGGGAGGATCAAATAAACTCCTATAACCCACTCAATGTATGCAATATCGAAACTTAACTACTTAGAAAACCCTTCTCTCTAATTAAATATACAATTCCTAGAAGGAATGAAAAAACAAAAACTAAGAAATTAAAAATAAGGAAAGGAAAAATGCCACTAACTTACCAATAAATTTATCCTTGCTCATTACCTTAACAAGACTTCTAAAGACTCCTACTTCTTGAAAAACTTGAAGAAGCTAAAAGAGTTAACAAAATGCTAATTCTTGAAAAAATGCTAAAGCTTTCAATATTATTTCTCTCAAATGAATTATGTCTACAACTTATGGGCAAATGCCCATTTATAGACTTTTTCAGGATAGTTCTAAATGATCACAACCACTTGAAAAATTAATAAAATAATAGTCTATCCTAATCTAATTACAAGATAAATAATTTAAATAAGATAGGAAATATCAAATAATTTAAATAAGATAGGAAATATCCCACGTGTTTTCCTTATAAAACACATAGGGAAATTACTTTAAAACATGAGAAATTAATTAAAAATACAGGAAAATTAAAGTGGGGTCCAAGAAAAATAAAAAATTAAATTAAAAATAATAAAAATTTTATGGAGGGAAAAGTTGGTCAGGTCTTAGGTCGAGTAGATCGTGTGGGCCAGCCTAGCGGGTCATGTAGACTGTGTGAAAATGGGCCCGTGGGTTAGGCCTGTGCATGGGGTGCGAACCTATTGGGCACGCACCTAGCAAGGCTGTATGTTGGGTGCGTGTTTGACATAATGGGTCTGTGCACACGTGACAAATTTCACGTGCGAGGCCAGTGGGCTCGGTCGTGGGTGCTGCTATACGTTTGGGCGTGTGGCCCGTGCGTGGACGCAAGCGCTTCCACACATGAAGGGCGTGTGGGTTGGGCTATATGCTCAGCACACGTGTGGGTAGCCTCCTTCACGTGTAGGGATCTTTGTCAATGTGTCAAGGAATTGTCTTGCCTCCTGTTTTCTAGTGGGGTATATGGTTGTTTTGATTTTTTCATTACATTTCCTCAGAATACTGGCAAACATGGGGACCAAGTATCCCGTACGTGTATTATGACACATGTGTACCCCACGGGTACCCACATCCAGACAACATATAGGCCTTCTTACGCTAGGATTTTCAGGTCCAATCATTCATTAGCGGTGAGGCCCATTATTCTTTGGGTTTCTAGCACCTTCTGGTGTCATTTCTTCCTAGGTCAGGGTTTCTGTTTGGTGGATTCAGCCTCGCTACTTCCTACTTGGTCTTGAGTACTGTCCCTTTGCAACTGTTTCTTTTCATTTCTTGGAAGGTCATCAGTACAAACCCACTTCCTACTTTCCATTGGTTTAGGTATGTCTTCGATTGCTATTGCATCACCATACATCTAATTGTTTATCCATCTCGAAAGGACACAAATGTATCAAGATTTGGGGTATCGTTTCTACTGGCTTGGTATGAAAAAAATATTGTTAAATTTGTCTGTTGATGTCTCACTTGTTAATGGATCAAGGCAAAACATCAGAGACCAAGTGACCTTCTGCAAGGTCTCTCCATCCCAAAATTGAAATGGGAGCATGTGATTATGGACTTTATCCCGGGTTTGCCAAGGACTACTCTATATTGTAATACTTGGGTCATTGTGGATAGATTGACCAAATCTACCTATTTCCTTGTAGTTAAGACTGCTGATTCAACTAGTAAATTGGTCAGATTATATGTGGAAGAGATTGTCAAACTTCATGGTGTCCCAGCTTACATTGTTTCAGACAAGGATCCTCATGTTTGTGAAAGCTTCTAAGAGACTCTTAGCTCCAGCCTTTACTTCAACATTACTTACCATCCACAAATGAATGGACGGTCTGAAAGAACCATTCAAGCACTAGAGGACATACTGCATGCATGTGTACTAGATTTTAATGGTAATTGGGATCAACATCTCCCCCTTGCTAAGATTGCTTACAGTAATAGCTATCACTTTAGTATGTGTATGGCTCCATATGAAGCTCTCTATCGTAGGCCTTACTGCTTCCCAACCTATTGGAATGAAACTGGAAACAAGCATCTCCCTATAATGTATTACATCTAAGAGATTGTTGATAAAGTTGTCATCATCCATAAAAACCTCGTTACCACTCAAAGTCCTAATAACAGAAGGAGAGCTTTAAAATTTGCTGTTGGTGACCATGTTTTCTTTAAGGTTAGAATTTGCACGGTCATTTGTGACTGATTGACGGACATGCTATCCCATTTGTCCGTCTTGTCTGCCCAGTCGGGCATGCATGGCTGCCACGTGGCGTGCATGCATGCCGCATATGGTGGTCAGTCGACCATTTGGCCTATCAACAGCCACCGTTCACCCATGTAATCCAACAATCCTCCTTCATCCAAAAAATCTATTTAAATGGCCCTCCCTTCCCTTTCACTTCACATATTTCTTCTTCCTCAATTTCTAGAGAGAATTTAAGGTGAAATTTGTGAGAAAGTCAACAGGGACTGGGAGTTTGGATTTCTTCGTACAATTTACGATTTGTAGAGCAATCTTTCCATCCTTTTTCCATATGACTTAGAAAAACATTAAAGATACACAAATATATTTTGAAAATATCTCCTTAATGCAAAGTTAAATAAAACAATGATAAGTTCAATAGCAATAACCATCATTTCCAAACCCTTTAATTTAGCAATTACCATAATTCAATTATCAACGATGCTCAATACTGTATTCAATGTATTTACATAACTTAGTTAGTTGTCAATGATGCTCAATACCATATTCAATGGGTTTACATAATATATATACATACACACGACTCGACTTGCCTTTGAGTTTTATTATCGGTTATTAAATATAATTTATATTTCACTGATTACAAACCTACGCGCATAGCCGCTTACACTATTTCCATAGAGGGTACCAAGTCACCAACTAGTTAAAGGTAGAAGCGTAATTAATCAATTAGAATATAACATCATAAAAGAATACATACAATCACTCAGTACTCCCAGGTCGCCATTCCACAATTTTCACTCCAGTCGTCATCATTCATGTTTTTAAGTCCTTAGACCACGACTAGCAATTGACTCAAAGTCCTCAAACGACTGAACCTGTTTCCAAACTATAACCCAATATCATATCCAAAGCCTAGTGGTTCACTTATTAAGCTGAATATCCCTCCAAGGAAAATAGCAAACTTGATTTAGACTAGACACTTAGTAATTTAATTTTTAGACTCTTTAATATTTTCTTTCTTGAATTTTATATTAAATTTTCCTTATTTGATTACTAACATTTTTGAATTATTATTAATTTATTTAGTTAGACTCTTAAGTGGGTTATTTATTTTTTCTCAAATATTTTAATTATTTTAGTCTTGATATTATTCTTGTTTTGGTTAATTTGTGTTCTAATTCATTTTATTTTCTGTTTTGTTATCTTTTAATTTGTATTATCTAGATTAGTTTTATTTAAATTTTACTTACTTAGAATTCCCACGATCGCAGTATTCCTTCCTAATTTCCATTTCAATTTATACTTTTTAAATATCAAGATTTATTAAATTTTATTGTTTCTTTTCCCAAAAACGCAACCTGTCCAAATATCCAGGCCGAGAGAAATTTCTCTTACTGGGCCCATGGCCCAGTGGGCATTCGTAAAGACCCCTCTGTATGATTTCATGCTTGCCGGGCTAGCACGACCCACTAGCCTGCTGCACAGGGCAATCGGCCCAAGGAAGCATGGCTATCGTGTAATGACACTCTTCACGTTCCATTTTTGGCATCTGCAGATGCCCGAAAATCCTCTGCACTCCCCAGCTTGGCAACTGCAGAAATGCATTGTGCCAAAGGCAATTCCAAGCCGTTTTTGGTGCCCAAAAAGCACCTCCCCCGTGAACCAGCACGACAAGGCCGTGTGGTACTTTCACAATGGCACTTTGGTGCCCAATGTGTTTGGCAGAAGCAAATGAACATCTGTTTTCGTCCCTTTCTTTCATTTTCTATTTTTTCTAGACAACATCATCATCTGTTACATTCAACACCCAATAATTCACATTAAAATCAACCAAAACAAATTCATACAATCATTCAAACGCAGTGATGAACACAATCACCCTTTTCATTTTAAAACACCACTTCATTTTGCATTTTAAAGAAAATTACCACATGAAATGCTTTCTATAAAAGCCATATTTGTATCAACTAGAATATCACCCATCTTACCTCAAAGGATTAGCAGAAACAAGCCCAAGAACACAAGAAAAGATCGGGTTGAAGCCTTGAAGAATAGTTCTGCAACACAATGATACTGTTGCTGAATTTGGGATTAATTTCTAGTTTTCAGGAGTGTTAAGCTTGTTCAATAGACTCCTAACAGATTGCTAACATCCTAACGATTTACTAACTATCTAGAATTAGGAAATGAATGCAAGTTAGGAGTGAACAAAAGCAGGAAAACTAGAACCTTACCTGCATAACCATGATAACAGTGGTAGCGACAACGGTTCAGTGAGGTTGCTATAATTTGGGTTCAAGAAGCTGGAAGGAAGAAACAAGGCAAATAATTTGTAAACGAAAGTGATTCGCCAAGATCAAAGCAGAAGAAGGATTCCTTCCACATTCGCACCAGACTTCCCTCTTGGCTCTGTTTTGCACTCACACTCGGTTACTCAAGTTTTTCCTCACTTGCACTCTCGGTTTCTCTGTTTTGTTGAGTTTTTGGTTTCAAATGAAGGGGAGGAGAAGAAACAAAGAAGAACTTGGTTTTGAAGGGAATTTGATCGCCAAATCTTAGTCGTCCAAAACCATGTCAACACTCGGGGCCATTGATGCCATGAGTGGCTGACAGCCCAAAGGAAAGGGATGGCCGGAGCTCGCCATCTACCCAGCCAGCTGGGTTCCCTCCACCAAGTGGCCAAAATGCCTTTTAAAGGCTGATTGAATGGGTGGTGTTTGGTTTATACTTATACATAGATTTATACATATATATACATACATTTATACATATGTATATACATATGTATACATACCTATAATATGCAGAGTTTAATTCAGTTAATTTTTATTTTTTATTATATATATATATATATTTTTAAATTAAATTAAAGTAAAAAAAATTAAGGAAATAGAAATATAAAATTCTTACAAAATATAATTATTGAAAATAGCTCATTCGTTAAAATTTTATAGAAATTTTTACACTCGTGGTTACACCTGTGTGCATGAGACGTGTTTTGTCGCCCGATGTGTCAAGGTACACCCCGCATTGGCACGCTGTTATGTGCAGCATCCCCAGTGAGCCGTGAGGGTCTCGCAGGCATCGACACTTTGTGTCGCACATGCGGAAAAATTCCCCTACACGGGTTAGTATTTGTTTGCAAGGTTTTCTATTTTAAAAGAAAATGAAAATAATTACGCACCGTCTGGGTGCGCAGATAGCCTGTGCGTGCGCGGCACCTCGAGCCCTGCGCTACCACCCCCACAGCCTTTCACCGTCGTTGCATCAAGCCCCGTGCTACCATCACCTCAAGCCCTATATTGCCATCGATGCTACCAGTGTTGCCTTGGGAGTAGTGCCCCTCCGTGGCCGGATGATGTCATTATTTCTATATCCTCATAGATTACGACATTTATCACTAGTCTGACAGTTATTTTCTTTTATAAATAAAGACTCCTACACCACTCTTCCTCACCCATTTCCATCCTCAAAGACTGAAATTCTAGAGAGAGAGAGAATTAGAGAAAGAAGGAAAAAGAAAAGAAAATGGGACTAGCTTACAAAGAGTCATCGATAATCGGTAAGGGATTCAGTGTTTTCTTACACATTCTAAGAGGCATTTTTAAAAAAAAAATAAGGAAACGAATGTTAATTTTATTGCATGATTGTAGCATAATTTTTGATAAATGAATGTTTATTTTATTACATGATTGTGGCATGATTTTGAGGGCATGTTGAGTTATTAATTATGATGATTGTTTTAATTTTTACATGCATCATCTAAAGGCTTAATTTGTTATTTCATGAACGAGTTGAAATGCAATTGATACGATAAGAGATACATGAAATTGTTGACATGGCACGAAAAAAAAAAATGGATACATGAAACATGAATTAATCCGTTAGACTATTTTATCTACTTTTATTTTTTTCCACCATTTCTAGAAAGATGTAAGATGACCACTTCCTGTGGATGATGACACGAAAGCATGTAGGAGATCCTAAGACCACTGTGGCAAAGTACGATTGTGGTCATAGTCTTTAGGATCTTAGTGGTTGGTACGGTCGTGGTCATTGATCGTGCTATGATGTGGCAAGCCATAAATCAGCTATGGTGTGCCGACCCATAAATCAGCTATGGTGTAACGAGCTGTAAATCTGTTGTGGTTGAGCAAGCTGTAAATTACTGTTAGTGTCACCATAGTGGTAGTTA